CGTTGCAATATTGCAATATTGGATTCATCGTGAATGAAGAGAAAGCAGAACGTGTGCGCCATATGCTGCGTGGTTCATTTTATGTCGTTAAGTTCCAATGAGTTTTTACGTAAAAACACAAACAAAGCGGCCCTTTTCAGGGCCACCACACACTCCAAAAAGAGAACTACCGTAACAAACACACTATTTAAATAAATCTAACTTTATTGTTGACCCCGTTCTTGGCTAAAAATCCCCCTGGGCGTTTAACCGAGGATGTCCCAAACATGTAACTTTTGTGAAAACAGGGGGTGGGCGCTTGCCCAGGGAGGGGCGCATGGCCGGGGTAATACAGTAGTTGAAAATGAAACATCCAAGTGAACCCGCTCATATGAGATCGAAGGAGTCTCTGTTTTCAACAGCCGTATACATCTAACTGCGTCATCGCCGCTAAGTTTCCTTGGTGGACCACGAGCTCTGTTCCTTATTTGCATGTTATCGTGTTCAGACAATCGCAGACATTATTTGTAAGGGTGCCCTTTGAAATGGCACATTTTCTCGATGTTTTAGCGAGTACTCCGCGGGTATATGGCTTGTTCTCACATTAGCATAATTTTCCTCAAGTTCACTCATCGCTTTCCCACATGCTTTCTCGTTCTTTGCTGCTAACTTGTTTTGCACTCTAATATGTTGTTGTTTTTGTCTTTTTAAACATCAAGTTTATTTTTGATTGAAATTCAACGAGATCGTTTGAATTTGATGACGATTCGAATTTATCCACTTTTACAGTGATCAATATTGCATTCGAGTTGAGTTACTAGTAATTACAAGCCTGATTTACATTTTTCTTGCGGTGTTTTTCGTCAATGTATTAATTATAAGTGCTTTGGGAAACAGCATAATTATATGCGTAAAGTGAAAGAATCTGATGAGGCTGCCAGTGTGTCACAACACGTTTTATTTATTTCCAATGCGCGCGGTCGGCTCCTCTGATTGCATTTATTTTGTATTTTTATTTTCGAAATGTATCACTGGCTGCGTTTGTTTTGTTTTATGTTTTCCTCTCTTTCAGTTTTCGTTCGGCTGCTGCCAATCCAATAATTCGTCGCTGCATGTACTCAGACAAGCGATTAATCGTCACAGTCATTATACTAGTAGTTTAAGTCCAATTGATTTGCAGAAATTCAGCTATGCGATGATTATATGTGCAGTTTTGTTTTGCGCACCCAGACATGAGCAACCCGATAGATTTTCTGAACTACAGAATTCGTATTACTTAGGGCAAATTGAGTAAAGGTCATAGTGTGAGTTGCGTTCGCAAATAACAAAGTGACAAATTATTTTGAGCGCCGTTCGGAATAAATTTAGTCAAACTCACACACAGAAACACACACACACAAATACTAGTACTCAATACATATCACGATTGATTGACCAGTTATATAGCTGCTTGAACTACGCACACAAGGATGTAAATGTGTAAATACAGGTCACAGTTCGACTTGCGAAGCAAACGTTACAATGTGTCAAGTGATTTGAAGGCGTCTTTGTCCCCCTTCACAATACAGAGGAAGCAATACGCGTTGTATTTGAATCATCATTAAAACCTAAATTTATTACGAATAAAAACACAAGTTTATAGATACAATTTAAGATCATCGTTACTCCAGCGGTCAGTTGGCAAGTGGACAATGTTTCTGAAGCCAGCCATAGCAAGAGCGAGCGAGCGAGCAAAAAATAAGCAGTCGGTTCCCGGTCGTAAAGCAGCGAGCGGTCGAAAATTAAGCGATAAGCTTTGGGAAAAAAAGCGATAAAAGCGGGAGGTTGAGCGGAGTGAGGACTGTATGGCTTGATAACACACCTGTTTTTTCACTGCAATATAATCTCGTCTAATAGCATTGATTTCTTCACTCAGTCTATTAGCTCTGGCACAATGGTCTTGAGCTTTACTTTCTAATTCCTCTATTTCACTGCATAAAGCTTTTCTTTCACTATCAAAGTCCTGTCAAAAACAAAACATAGCAAATGTAAATTTTACTAAACATGATTTTATCTAGTTTCAAAACGATGGAAATGATGCATTTTAGCTTGTGGATGTGTCATGCATGTGTGAAAGGTATGACTCTGGAACAACATTTTTGTCAGACGCCAATAGGTGGCGGGTTTTCCGAAAAACAGAAAATTATGAAAGTTTTTCCCAGTCTGGGATGATACACTCTACAACAATCACTCATCACCTAGTTAAGACCCAAAAGAAGGTGGTGTCTTACCTTGCCTGTGCTGTCCCCGGAGCAAGAAGCCAAAAATGCTGCTACGGTGACAGGGTTCGGTGTGCCCAAGAAAACTAGACCCAAAACTCAAATTATGGGGTAGTATGCTTTCGAAGTAAAGACCGAAACAGTTCTGCATGAGGGCATAGATCGAAAAGCAAGACCAGGAAGTGCAGATGATAGAGAAATCTTTCTGCAAAAATGCTGAAACCGACTTATCGCCTATGTGCAGGGATTCTTGTGGTCGTTTGGGCTGGGTCAGCATCTGACCCGCTACGACGGGACGCAACTTAAAGAGATCCTCTTCAATAGATTAGGTGTCTCTTAGGTAGTAGTTGATAGACACGTTCTGCGTTCTCCAGAAGCCTGCCCTCAGTATATGCTCGAGGCGGGCGCCTGATCCTAGTGAGTTAGCAATCGCACAGACCTCATGCGCTCGTACTTGGTGTCTCTGCAAGTTCCGTGTCAAAGAAGTTAAAGTATTATAGACCTCTAATATAGTCGGAGTAATCCACCTGGCGATGGAAGATGCGGAAGCCGGCTTATTCTGCCTGCCAGGGCCGTAACACAAAAACATGTGCTTGGCTCCCAGACTCGAAATCCTAGTACGGTTCTCGAAGCTCGAACTGGGCAGATAAGCAATTCCTCCTGATCCTCCGGGCTGACAATATTTAACAGCCGGGGATGACAATCGGCTGGGGAGTGTGTCCTGAAATTTGGTTCTTGGCGAGAAACCTGATTAGTGTCTTTAGCACAACTTGACCGTCCATAAAGGTGGCACACCCGTTCGAGAAAGACAGAGCGTCTAGTTCTGACCGACGCGAGGAGGGGCCAGTAGAAAGACAGTTTTCCACATCAAAAACTTTAGTGGTGCTGATCGGAGCGGCTCAAAGGGCAGTCTGCTTAGAGCGAACAACACAACCGACAAATCCCAATTGAGCAGTTCCCTTGTTCGGGTTCTCGGCCTCTGATTATGGAAAGCAGTAAACAGTCTCCTAATAATATGACAATCGGCTAGACTTGACCCCTAAGCGTTCTCAATGGCGGGGGCAAGGCCAACCTGTAGCCAACAATAGCTGCGTAGGACAAACCTGATTCGTCAAACAGGTGGACGAAGAAGTCTGCTACCTGGCCAATAGAGGGATGGAATGGATCAATCTCCCTTCCACTACACCAATTAGTGTATGCTTGCCACTTCGAGTTGTAGGCAGCGTTGGTGGAATCCCTGTTCGCCCAGGCAGCCTGCTCAGATAAACCTTTCGTCTGTGCGAGTCTACTGAGTACACCGCTGGGCTCGTTGGTAGTGTGTCGTCTCGTTGGGACAGCAGGTCAGGTAGGTCCGGAAGCACTACTGGTGTTTTGACTAGCATTTCCAACAGAAGTGGAAACCAGGCTTTTGTTGGCCAATTGGGCGCCACCAGAGTCAATATGAAGGTGGGCTCCGGTCGAAGTTTCTCCTGTACCCGGTGAAGGGAGGAAAGGTGTACGCATCGAAGTGGGTCCACGGAGATCGACAACGCGTCCATGGCCCATGCCCCTGGTGTCGGCAGGAGTGTTACGTTGGGTGCTTGGCGTTCCGGGGTGTGGCAAACAGGTCCATCTGTGGACTCCCACAGCTGAAACAGCCTGGAGGCTACCCACTGGGGTATCTGCCACTTCGTGTTCTGGAGACAGAGCCACCTCAAAAAGGAGTCTGCCAGACTGTTCCTCACCACTAGAAGATGTTGTGCGGTTTGCTCTACATTGTATTCCAGGCACCAAAGATGAATTTGCTCTGCTAGAACTGACAGCGATGGAGAACCCCCCCCCCCCCGAACTGCGGGTAGAAAGGGTAGTAGTGCTAAGTACACTGCTTTCAGCTTGAGCCTGTTAATATGGTGGTCTCGAACACAGTGCGGGGGCCATATTCCTTGGGTTTGTTTGTCCAATAGATGCGCTCCCCACCCTTGGAGGGAGGCGTCTGTTACCAGAGTCATAGCTGCGGCAATTGGGCCCAAGGGGACCCCCTGTCTGAGGTTGGTCAGTGACAACCACCAACGCAGGGCTTCCTTCGCTTGGTCCGAGATCAATACTCGCCTGTCTAGTTCCCGTAGGTGAGCTCGGTGTTCTCTAGCAACAAGCGTTGTACCGGGCGGCTGCGAAATGCGGCCTGGAAAACTACCCTTCGAACTGAGGTCATCATTCCTGCGTTAGCCTTACTTGTTTGGCTAATAGGCCCTTGTCTGGGTTGTGTAGTAACCAGTCATCTAGGTACAGATTGATGTGTACATTTGGTGAAGCAGCAGCACTACCCGTTTCATCACTTTGGTGAACACGTAGGGAGCTGTCAAAACCCGAAGGGGAGCACCTGAAATTCAAATACTTGGCACAGGTGGGCGAATCGAAGAAGATGGCAACTCGCTGGGTGCATCGGTATATGTGCAGGTACGCTTAAGTCTAGAGAGGCTAGCCAGTCAAACTGGTGGATGGATAGATCGAGGAAAACATACTGATTTAGTCTGCTTAAGTCCAGAACTGGACACCAGCCGCCTGTAGATTTTGGTACTACGAATACATTTGAGTAGAAGCTTGGACCTAATGCTGGCCAAACTACCCTGTGTATGCAACCTTTTCCAGCAAACTGTCTTCTTCCTGTCTGATTTCTTCCGCCTTGCAGGGATCCCCTGGCAGTTCCCCCCAACGGTGACCCGCTGTCTCCAAACTGGAATGCACCGACACAAGCTCTGTCCGACTGGGATATGTGGCCATGGGTTTGGCGGTTGCAAGGTGAGGGTGTTCTCTCCTCCCATGAGGTGAGCTTCCCCGGGGCCTGCTGTAGTCACCAAGTTGAAACCTGGCCCCTCGCCGAACATATGCCATCCCTCCCGTCGCAGAGGTAAGTGTCAAACATGCTTCCCCTGCTGCTGGGGTGGACGACCGCCCAAGGAGGATGAGAAGCCACCACCTGGTACAGATTGATCCATGCCATCTCTCCATTGGCCAGGTAGCAGACTTCTTCGTCCACCTGTTTGACGAAATAGGTTTGTCCTGCGCAGCTATCGTTGGCTACAGGTCGGCCTTGCCCCCACCATTGAGAACGCTGAGGGGTCAAGTCTAGCCGATTGTCATATTATTAGGAGACTGTTTACTGCTTTCCATAATCAGAGGCCGAAAACCCGAACAAGGGAACCACTCAATTGGAATTTGTCGGTTGTGTTGTCCGCTCTAAGCAGACTGCTCTTTGAACCTCTCCAATCAGCACCACTAAGCACTAAAGCACCTCTATGCAGTTGCGGAAGGGTATGAGCGCTTGCCTCCTGGCTGACTCTGGGTAGCGGCGTTGCCTTAGGGCGTTGTGTTTTCTGTGCTCGTTTACCCTTGGCAGTGGCCGACTGGCTAGCGGATTCGACCTGAAACATCTGGCTCATTACATCCTGAAGCTCCGAGACTGCACCCGCCAATTCCCCCAGCAAAGAGGGTGGAATATGTCCAGTCTGTAACTAGGTGGTGACGTACCCCCTGACTCAGTTTGCTGGCGAAAACACCCACGTCTCGTTGCATAGTAGTTGCCAGGTGACACTGGAGGAAGTCGTACATAGCTGTGCGGTGGCCCACCATTAATTGTGTCGCCTGGTCTAGGAGGCTGGTGCATTCTGCCTCCGAGGTCTCAGAGTCCTGGGCACGCGCAATAATGTGCTCCAGTGTGGCCCACATATTGTAGGAAAGTAATGGGTCGCAACTCTGCCCTCAGGGCGAGTTGGATTGTCTCAGACTGAGCTGGTGAGAACACCCATGGAACGCGGCTGTAGCCCTTTACCCGGTTTGACAAACGAGTCATTACGGATGGAAGACTCTGGGGGACACCGCGAGGCACCCACTGTATCCAACGCGGACAAACTGCCTTCTTTCAACTTAAATATGTGAGCGAGAGTGTGTTCGAGGGTGTGTCTCATGACAGGGGAGGTTCCCTCTGGGAACGCCCATGGGTCGGCGTGAAGAGTCAAAACCCACAGCAGAGCCCAGACTTAAGGTTAAGTTACTGTTACCGCGCAGCAAACCTTGGCTGGCTGAAGGTAGGGGGAAGTTGCAACGTGTGCTCTGCTCTGAAAGCCTGTCCCGAAATTGGAGGCTTGGCTGCCAGCATCCCCGTTGGTGTTCAGTGCTCGAGGTCCCAGAGGAGACACTGTACAACTAGCCTGAGCCTCTGCCTCCCCCAAATCAGCGGAGAGTTGCAGCTGGGAACAGGGGATTCCCTGGAAGAGAAGTGTTTAGAATGCAAGCAATGCTGTTTGTGTTTCTTCCTTATTGCCGACTGAGGGGCCACAGTGGAGACAGCTCACATCTGCAATCTGCCCCGACAGTCCTTCGACCAAAGCCCTCATCTCAGAGGCAAACCCGGCACCGTGTGAGGACGAATGCACAAAGAGACCCGCAACAGGCCCCACAGGAGAAATGACCTCCAGGGGCACAGCCTCGTCGTTGGGCAAAACACCGACTGTGGCGATGCCCTCCGATCAGCGGGGGGAGACCAAAAAATATCGGAACCTCCACTGTCGGGCCTCTTACTTGACGTCTCAGTCATAAAGTACCCGTAGCCGAGCGTGAGGACTTTCCACTCATGCCAACAAACAACTCACTCTGACAGATTTTACTAGACGCGCAATCTTTGCTGCGTAAATGAGCGACACGGTCAGTCTCAGTGATTTTCACATTAATTGTGCTGGAAAGTATCGCAGGCTTCAGAACTCCAGAGATTACATACGCTTTCAGAGCAAAAACCCAAACCCTGAATGCAATAGAGACATAATAACACTTCGAATGCAGGCTCCAATCTGGTAAATTCTGAGTACAATCACTACAAGACCGCCTCAAAACTTGAGGGGACAAAACCGGCGGCGAGCCTATACATCGAGTACATCTATCCATTTCTGAATACATTGGTAAAAAATGAAGATGACATGCATGAGGGAAGCAAAATACAGTTGGAAAAGGTGACAACGAAACCAACAAATGATTAAGTTACGTCGTCAGGTTTTATTTTCTTTGTTGTGAAAAATGCTACACACAAAAGGTAAATCGACACAAAGGTTAAAATAACAAGGAAAACATATCCTACCAGCTAGAATGTTGGTTACCGCAGCCGCGGTAACAACCCAAGTCAGAAACCCGGACAGGAAAAGGTAGGCTATCCAGGCAGAGCCGCTAGACTTCATCCCCGTCGATGGGGAGATAAAGAAAAAGTGAATAGCCAGTCGTAATGGAACCGCCGTAATGGAACCACCGTATGGCCTCAGTCACATGGTTCA